CTACCTTGCACGCTGGATGAGCCTATAGGCGATGTACTTGCGAAACAGGTATCCCAGCCGAACTGTGTCCGTATGAAGTGTTTCAATTATGAGATTCCTGGCTGTTGTGTGTAGCTCTGAACGGAGTCCAGAAGCTTTTGTGGCCTGACTTAAGAGTATCAAGTTCTTTCTCTGAGCCTCCACATCGACAAAATACCTCTGCTCTTTGAGCTCTTGGGGAGAGGAAGGGGGCACCCTCATCTTGGGTTTCTTGGTAACTGAAACTGAAGTCAGCATCCAGGGCTTGTCTATAGGAGGAAATCGGGATTTCTGGTCCCATTCAGAAGGTGAGATCTGTGGTGTTTTGGGTAGCTGAGTAGTAAGAGAAGGTAGTGATGTTACAGGCTTCATGAAGGTGGGAAGGGCCCCCTCATCAATGTAAGGGGTTTGTGATACTGGTGTCCTATAATTGGTGAGATAGGACTGAAATGTTCTAAACTGTTCCGTGGCAAAAGGATCGTGGAGCATCTGGATTTCTTCAGAAGTGTCAGAGACCTCTGATATTTGGAACTTCTCAGTGGTGAAAGGGGCTTGAGTTATCTTGACATTTGGGGCACTGGGATGGGCCAATACTGATTTAGATTTCAGAGAAGAGATAATTGCCAATCTGTCCTTACTTTTCTTGGAGACAAAAGAGGACAGATCTTTCTGGGGCTTTCCAGGGGTTGAGGGGATCCATAGTGTTGGGGGATACCCAGGGGTAGGAGGGATCCACAGTGGGGAAGCTTGCCTAGGAAGAGTCCATGGTGCCAGATGCTGCCCAAGAGTAGAAGGGGCTTGTAGATAGGGAGATTGCTCGTGGGTGGCAGGGGGCTGGAATGCCTGGGACTGCTCAGAGAGGGTTAAAGGTCCAGATTCCAGGAGCTCCCCAGGGATGGAAGAGGCCCCAGGAACCAAGGGCTTCCCAGGAGAGAGAGCCCAGAGACTGGGAATCTGTGCAGAGGTAGGTGGGACTCCAGATATAAGGGGCTGCCTGGGGGCAAAAGGGTCCTTTGATATCAGAGGTGACTGGGGAGTCAAAGAGTCCCTAGATATGAAGAACTGCCTAGAGCTAAGAAGGTCCTCCAGTGCAAGGGGCTGCCCTGGAGTGGGAGGGACCCCAGGTATTGGGAGCTTCCCAGGGATGGGAGGGACCTCTGGTGTTAAGAACCGCACAGAAGTGGATTGACCCTTAGAAACCGGGATCTGTCTAGAGGAAGGAAAAGTCTGTGGTGCCAGGAGCTTCCCAGAGTCAGAAAGAATCCTCATTCCTAGGGATTTCCTAGAGACAAAGGGGGCTTGGGTAAGAGGAGACCTTGATATCTGCAAAGGAGTAGAAGAGACCTCAAATATAGATGACTTCTCAGCAATAGGAGCGGAAGATGCTGGGAACTGCCTAGGGCTTGATGTAACAGATTGCCCAGCGGGGAGAAAAGGAGTGGAAGGCGCCAATGTGGGGGACTGCTTAGGAATGCGAGGAGCACTTGGTGTGATGGATTTATCAGTAAAAGAAAAGATCCCAACGTCCAGGGTATGCCCTGAAGGAAGACCAGTCCAGAGTCGTGAGGGCTGCTCCTTAATGAGAGGAGCTCTTGATTTTAGGTCCTGCTCAGACACGAAAGTTGTACCCATGGGCTGGGCCTGTCCTGGAGTGAAAGGGGCTCCCAAAGGTTGGACTTGCTCAGGAGTGTGGGGAGATTCTAAGGCATGGGCTTTATCTGAGATGACGGGGACTCCCACTTCGTGGGCCTGATCCAGAGTAAAAGGAATGCCAAATGTCTGAGCCTGCTCGTGAGAGGAAGTGATGCCTAATGCTTGAATCTGCTTAAGAATGAGAGTGTTTGATACTTCTTCAACCACCTTTGGAGCGATAGGGACCCCCAATTTCTGGGCCTGTTCTGCAGTGAGAGGGGTCTTTAGTGCCTGAGCCCGGTCAAGGGTAGGAGGGACCGCCAGTGCTCGTGCCTGCTCAGGGGTGAGGGTAATATCCACTCCCTGGGCTTGTTCATGGGTACGTGTGATACCCAAAGTCCAGGCTTTCTCAGGAGCGAGAGTGAACAACAGTGCCTGTGCCTGTTCTGGAACAAGAAGGCCCTGCAATAACCGGGCCTGCTCAGGGGTGAGAGAGCCCTCCAATGACTGAGCCTGTTGAGAAGTGAGAGGTCCCAATGCCTGAATTTGCTCAGAGGTGAGGGTGACTCCCAAACCCTGGGGTTTCTCAGAGGTGAGGGTGCCCATCAATGCCTGGAACTGCTCGGAGGTAAGAGTGATGCCCTGTGCCTGGGCCTGCTGCGGGGTGAGAGTCATCCCCAGGGCCTGGGCCTGCTGAGGGGTGAGAGTGATCCCCATTTCCTGGGCCTGCTGAGGGGTGAGAGTGATCCCCATTTCCTGGGCCTGCTGAGGGGTGACAGTGACCCCCAGGGCCTGGGCCTGCTCAGGTGTGAGAGTGATCCCCTGTGCCTGGGCCTGCTGAGGGGTGAGACTGATCCCCTGTGCCTGGGCCTGCTGAGGGGTGAGAGT